GGATTTTCTATAATATATGAATTTAAATTTAAATATGAATTTGAATTATTAGAAAAAGGTGCTAAGCTAGAATAATATCTAACTTTTTTAGATAAATTAGTACTAACTTTTTGTGTGAAACACTTTACATTATTATTTTTTTTTAAACGTATAAGACTGGATTTTTGCAATAAGTTGACCATAAAGAAGATCATTATGAATGCATGCGCTGAAATTATTACGTTAAATAACTGATGATCTCCAGATAAAAATTGAACACCTGGAGCAGCTAATTCTAATCTTATTAATACTGAGAATGCAGTACCGATCATACCTGCAAACACTGCAAATATAAGATAGAGTGTACCTATCTCTTTAGCATTAGTAGAATTTAATCACGACAAGTTTATTGTTATTGAATGCACAATATTTGGATTTTTATTGATTTAACAATCTCAAAAGCCATATATAAAATAAAAATTTCAAATATATGGCGCTAGTTAATTTAAGTTATATTATTTTTAACTTATATCTATCTGTAAAGTAGCTGACACTAAATAATAAATAATTTTGAGGTAATTGCTTTCTATAAAGAAAATAGAACTAAGAACCTCCCCTGCGGAGCCTGCTCCTTCGAAGAACTGAACGGAGCCGAACGGAGCCAAACGGAGCCTACTACATTTTATATTAATTAGTAAATTAGGTAAAAGTAAAGGGGTATAAGATAAAATCCTTAGAAATAAAGAAAATTAAATTTTTTAACATATTAAATGAGCCTCCTTTCTTGCTTTGCTGCTAAGCAGCAGGTTGCCATAAATTGATATTTTTAATTTATATGACACTCTGCTACACTAACTTTAAGATTTTATGTATAGTGCTCCTGACGGAGAGAGCTAAAAGGTATAAAATAAATATAACTTAATCTCAACTGGAATTTAGAATCGGAATGAGGGTGAATCGAACACCCAAGAGTGTTAACTCCAGCAATTAGCAATTGCCTTATCTTACCAATGAAAACCATTCCTTTAAAAATTTTATTTTATTAACTTTAATGTATTTTACTTATAAATACATAGTGAAGTAATTTATGCTTTCTTTTAATGGGAAACCTAGATTAGTACCACATCCTAAATAAATTACAATTTATCAATTTATTAAAATGTAAACTCAAAATTAGATGAAAAAAAATATTTACAAGACCTGAAACTAGCATATCTTGAATTTTTTAAGCTGCCTTTTAAAGGCTTTTACCTATTTTTTTTAATTATAACTTTAGGAGGCACCAAACTGAGAAACATTATAAGCTTTTGTAATTAAGTTAGTAGTAATCTTCGAACTAGATTATTAGAATTATAAACTAACTCCGCTCTTATTCGAAGAAGCCGAAGAAATATATTAAATAGAAGGATTGTAAAATAGCAAGTTACTGCAAGGTGAGGGTGATTTGATTAATTATTTTTAGCTTAAATTAAATGCTATTTACGGCTTTTTATTTCGGCTTTTTATTTTTTGCGTTGCAAACCTAATATAATCTATAATTTAGAGAGGCTAGGCCTCTGTTCGTGTGAAAGAGTAGAAGTTAAAATATTAATTGAGAAAATTACTTACCTAGCAAAAAAAAAAAAAAGAAGGAACCATTGTTTACTACTTTCAATAATCTAAAATATTATTTTTTTAAGCTTCATTAAGACGTTGAAAGAATGTAAGCTTCTTCCTGCGGAGCTGCGGAGGAAGAAAATATTATCTATTGGCTAGTAGAAATAAAGGTAAAACTTTTATTTTTTGCGAACGCAGGAAGCTCTATGAAGGAGCGAGGATCTTTTTTTTTTATTAATATAAAATAATAAATGATCCTTATCAGAATTGAACTGATGCTAGCTTTGTGAAAGAAGGCTGTACTACCACTATACCAAAGGACCTTATTAATTTTTATTTAGGAAATATAAGCTTTGCGTTCGCCATCTAATATAACAGGTTAAATTAAAAAAATGATAACCAATAAAAAGTAGAAACACTTCGCTGATAAGAACACTACTTTTATTTTAAACTAAAAAACTAAGCTTAAATCATCTACAGTTAACAGAAAGTATGTAAAGCTTTGAATATTTGCGCTACCTCCGACTATATATTATTTAAGACAGGTCATGCTGCGTTAGCACTTTGAATAGGAAAATTTATATTTATAAAAACATAATATAGAGGAATCCGTTTTTATGAAACTTTACAATAATTTATTAACTAATAAGTTTAATATTACTCTTTCGTACTCGCAGGCTTTTAAATTTTTAAAGGGATGGAGCGCTTCACCAGACGACACTTTTATTTTTGAATGACCAAGTATATAAACTTAATAATTATCAATATAAGTATTAGCCGGTGTAGAATTTCTTATTTATCCTCTGATCCTCTACAGGTCTACACGGGTTCCACGTAATTATAGGAACTATCTTTATTATTGAGCTTTACTATGCTGCTTACAGATAGAAACTTTAATACTAGTTTCTACGATCCTGCTGGAGGAGGGGACCCAATTTTATATCAGCACTTATTCTTTAAGGTTTATTATAAGAAAGAAAATGAACTTAATTTTTTTAGAATTTACTTTTTTTGCGAGATTAGGACTTGAACCTAAACCGTAAGCTAATGAGGCTTTTATGCTAACCATTACAATATCTCGCATAATTTTTAATAGAAAAAATGTTTTGTGTAGAGTAAGAATAATATAACTACACCTTTTAAAAAGCAATAGTATTGTGTATATCAGATATTAAAATTTTTAAAAAACGAATTAATATCACTACTATATTTACTATATTTTTTATAAAGCAGAAGAAAGCGTAAAAAATATACATTAATGAGTTAATTTTAACAATACATTTATTGTACTTCCAAAGGACTATAGTTTAAATGAAAACTAAAGATTTTTAATATTACTCTTTCGTACTCGCAGGCTTTTAAATTTTTAAAGGGATGGAGCGCTTCACCAGACGACACTTTTATTTTTGAATGACCAAGTATATAAACTTAATAATTATCAATATAAGTATACTAAATTAAAAGTGAAAAGCTTGAATCTGATGTGATGGATAGATTCTATCAATTTAATTTTACGAACAAAGAGACTTGAACTCTTAAGGAATTACTTCCACTCCTGCTTAAGAGGAGATTGTTTACCAATTTCAACATGTTCGTTTTAAAAATTTAATAAATTATTTTAAATACCTTTTCCTATTTGCGAAGTTTGCATCGTGATAGAGTTTTATTATTAAATATTAAATATAACTATAATATTCTTCCCTTTCTTTTATTAAAAATATATTTTATATTTATATATAAAAAATTAAAATTAAAGGAAAAATTTTACTCTTATATTATTTTAAATAAAAGGATGAAAGCATAGATAAGTATTAAACTAAAAATAGTTTTAATTACAATTTAAACTCCCCATTACTTTCTTCACCTACGGTAGCTGCCGTAGAAGGAGGAACTTAGCTGCAGCAAAGCAGCAAAGCAGACCGCCTATATAAAGATTTGTGTTATTCTGCGTTGCAAGAGCATAGAAAAATTTTATTTAACTAAAATGAAGCATGCTCCTCCATGCATAGCAAGGAAGAAGCGCAAGACCGGCATATGCTTAGATTTGAAAACATAAAGATGCTTGCTAGCAAGGCGTATTTAACAAAAATTTTATTTTTTTTAATAATATTATAAAAGGCCTTAAGAGGATTTGAACCTCTGTAAAAAGTATTAACAGTACTTCGCTTAAACCACTCAGCCATAAGACCTTAAAAATTTTTATCTTTGTATTTATCTAGAGACCAGATAAATAGTAGGGAGTTGAGCTAAAATTATATTTATTTAAGCTTTTTTTATTTTTTCAAGATATAATAATTTTATTTGCTTTTTAATAAATTTGCTTAGCTGGAATTAATGAATTGCAATTATATAATATTGTTTATAAAATATAAATGTTTTATTTATAAATAGGATTAAAAAAAAAATAAATAATAGATATTTTTAGATGTACATTTTCTAATCATAGCACAAAATTAAAAATAATTTATAATTAGCTGCTTGCTTTGCAATAATAAGCTTTCGTTCAGATGGAGTACTAGCTGTTTTATATAAGTATGCTTTAGAATAATGCCATTTTTTTCATTTGAATAGAGTATAGATTTAGTTTGTAGAAAACAGAGATTAAACGGAGTGCAGATAATAATATTAAAACAGGGAAAATCTAAGCAGTACTATGTTTTAAAGAAAATATATAGGAGCAGCACGCCGTGCTGCGTATCGTTTTTGCAGCAAGCGAAAGCTAATTTATATTTTCGCTTCTACGTAGCCATAAAATTAAAAACTACTTGTTGCGTAGCATGCAGGGAGTATTATAAAGTATTTATTTTATATTTTATTTATATAATTAATTTTCGTGATAGGCGCGACTCGAACACGCTAACTCTCCCACCCAAAAGGAGTAACCATCCAGTTGGTATTCTACCACTTTTAATTAATGGACTTAAATTGAGTTATGTTTCAGTTAATCTATTAATCCTTATACTATACTCTATGGGATTGAGAGGAACGGAAAAAAACTTTACTAAGCAGAGATTACTATTCTTGCGAAGCAGGAGTAGAATTATATTATAAGTTTACCTTGCTTTTCCCTTTCGCAGGAGAAATACACCGTTCCTGCGAAAGCTTATAAAGCTTCTTCCTTTCATCCGAACGGGGAAGAAGCATGAATGAGCCTTCTTCTTGCTCCGCACTATAGGATTACTAGTGTGAAGTAGCGCAAAGTTTTATAGTTTACATTAACATTTATAGAGTTAGCAAAAAGCAGGAGATGAAACTCGCTTCTATTTAAGATAATAACACTAACTAAAGTAGAGAAATTGATGAAAAATATTAACTTACCGTGCGTTTGCAGAAAACATATGATTAATTTACTTTTAAAAAGATAATTTAATTAAATATATATTATATTGAAGAGAAACTAGACAATACTTATTGATCTATTTTATTACGAATAATCAGATTCGAACTGATGATATCTACTTGGAAGGTAGAGGTTATAGCCACTTAACTATACTCGTATTTATTTAATAATTTATATTTTACTGCACTCAGTTCCATTGGGTGAGGCTTAAAGAATGAACTATTGGCCCTACTACTGAAAATTTGTATTATTAGATAACGCAGCTTCAAAAGTAAGAAGTATACTTCATAAAAAAGTTAAATATTAACAATAAAATAATTTTAATAATGGAGTAATCTCCTACGTAGGTCTAGCGAATAAAACTCCTCCTTCTTGCGCTTGCTACGCAGAAGAACAAATTAACAAAACAAATAAATGAATGCATGAATAGTCTTTATTATGAAGGAAGCCTTTAACAATTAGAGTGTTTAGTAAAGAACAAAGCAGAAAAAGAATAAAAATAATAAAAAGCATGCATGAAGCAATAGCAAATTAGTGTACTCATTTATATATAAGTAAATATGTATATCGTTAGAACGTTGAAAAGTATTATTTTATACTTATATTTTCTTTTGGATTCGAACCAAAATTTGCACTTTAGAAGAATGCAGTTCTAACCAATTAAACTAAGAAAATTAAATACGATTTAATTTATTTATTTATTTTATTTATATAAAATACTACTCTTTTATTTATAAATTTTTTTAAATATATAATATAAATATGGAGGCCGCTGATGCTGCTCTACGAACGGAACAATCTATCCACGCGCAAGAAGAACTATCCATACTGCTCCTTGCTACTCAACACTAGTAATCCTATAGTGCGGAGCAAGAAGAAGGATATATGCTTGCGATCGAACACAAATTTATATTTATTTGTAATTGATTAATCTTATCTTAATAAATCATAAATTAAGCTGATAAATGACGTATAAAAAAAGTAAATTTAATAATAAATTTAATATTTAAATTATAGAGTTAAGAAGGAATTGAACCCTAAAAGTTAGACTTTGCAGGTCTACTACAGAAAACCATCTGTAACTTAACTCTTTTATATAAAATTTTATTTAAATTACCAATTACCTATTATGATTTAAGGTTTCGCCGCTATTACTCCTTCTTTTCATGCTCCGCAAGAAGGTGAAGAAGCAGGCGGTTTGGAATTTCATAGTTCGTACCTTGCTAATTCTTTTGCTAATTTTTACTTTATTTTTTTGATAGTTATTAACTATACTAGTGAGGTAATAAACTACTAGCGTTACAGGAAAGCTAATCTCTCCGCAGGAGAGTTAACATTTGTAAAGGCTAAGGTCAATGTTGAGTTAATGTTAACGGTAGGATATTGTTTTAGTTAAAAATTCCTTATTTAATAAATTCTTCTACTTTTAAAAAGAAAATTTTTTTAAATATCTTTTTATTAAAAGAAGAAGGTTAAATTCTTTTAAGTTATAAAAGATAAATTAATCCCTCTTATTTTTAATTAATGTAAAGATGTACTTAATAATAAATTTTAAGTATATACCCTTTATTAAAAAAAAAATATATTATTGTGCTAACAATTGATCTAAACGAGAACAAGAAATGATGGAATCATTCTTGCGAAGCCATTCTTGTAACTTGCTTAGCAGAGTCAAATATAATGCTTATATAATTATAATTAAATTTTTTTTTTGTTTGGCTAGCATTCACCAATCCCTATGTGATTACACATCCTTCTTACGGAGCCTGTAAACACGAACGGAAAAGGTGAACGAAGCACTCTTAAATTGCATTTAGCCTTTTAAGATACCCTGGTTATTTCATTTATGTTATAGTTTCTCCCTCCCTACCATCCCTCCCTCCCTATGGGAGGGAGGGCGGGCGGGCTCCCTATAACTTTAGAAATAGATCTTTTTATGAGACACCTTTTATAAATATTATTCTCGATAATGCCTCAATTTGTACCATTTTCTTTTTTAAATCAAATAATCTTTTCATTTTCAGTATTATTAATTTTAGTTTATATATTATCAAAATATATACTTCCATTATTTACATTATTACAAGTAGTTAGAATTTATATAACAAAATTAAGTAATAAAAATTAATTAAAAATATTTAATTATCCACCTTTGCCTAACTATAGTAGCTTAAAAACTTAATGTATAAGTATTCATTTTTTGCTCCAGCTTATGTAGGGCTGCTCAAACTTTTCAAGAACGTTCCGTTCTTGCTTAAGCTATGGGCTAGAACCATAGGAATGGATACATGCAAAGCAATAATAGTAATTACCCTTATACGGAACTAGAGAAAGGCTGCTTGCAAAAGATTAGATGTATTTTAAATTAATTATTAGTGATTAATTATACCATTAATTTTTTTGTAAAATCTAATTCAATTTTAAAAAATAGATATTGGCATCTATCCATCCTATTTTTACCCCCTTGCTCTGCAGGATCCACTCCTATAGGGATGGGAGGGGGAAGGAGCAGATGTATTTTAAGCTAATCATAATATATTTTATGTATAATTTAATTTACATAATTTATTTTATAGCAACTCATCCAATATCATTTACTAATATTAATATAAAAATAATAATTTATACGCACCCTCATCTAAATATAAAATAGTATAAATCTCATCCATCTTTAATATGAAATATACTATTCTCCCTCCATGCATGCATAGCAAGGAAGAAGCAGTCGAAGATATATCACTATATCATATCCCTTGTCAAATAATTTTATGTGGTATTCTTACATACTAGAGTTTTTGTAGAGTGTAGCTTAAAAAATTTAATTAATGATCACTATAAATCTTATTTTTAAATTAAACGGTGCAGAGTCTTTGCTTTGCATTAAACCAAATTAGAAGCAAGTAGCCCTAGCCTAAGCTCTTTATAGTTCCAGTTCTATAGGAGGAAAAAAAAAGAACCTTTCCTCTACACACTCGCACTTATATTAGGGCTGCATCTGAACGGAGCATCTACAATTTTTATTATTACGATGCAAACGTGTAGAATGTAGGTAATAATCAAGCATTTGCTCCTCCGTAGGTAGCCTAAGGGAGGAGTGCATCATCACTTTGGGAAGGACACATAGTTTTATTTTTTTTTTTTAATAACAACCTTTAACATCAAGTTTATTTATAAATTAGTACTGCTAAACTTAATACTTTACAGTAAGCTCATTTGCAGCCTAACTAGAAATGTTCTATTTCTTAATTTACGGTTTTAGACTTTTTACGATATGCTAAACAATGTTTATCTAATAAGTAAAAAGATCCGTTTTTAGTATCTAGGGGTTAGATTCTTGCTTGATATACATTCAGCACTTATCTATTATGTTTGTGGCTACCCAACTATGCGTTCCTAAATTATTACCTTTTTATATTTAAAATTTCCTTCTTAACCTAAAATATTTATATACCTTAGGCTAAACAATTAATAAATAATAAATTATAAAAAGGAGGCCTTCGCTCAAGCTAAAAAAGTAGCTCTAACGGAGGGCGCCTTCCTCAATTAGATTTTAATTGAGTCCATTATAATAAAGTAAAAACAATTGGTACACTAGAGAAACACAGCCTATTGATCCTTTCGTACTAGAAGGTCTGCCCCTTTTTACTACTTATCTCTTCAGAAGATAGGGACCATACTGACTCACGTCGTATTAAACCCAACTCGCGTACCCTTTTAATCGGCGAACAGCCGAACCCTTCCAAGCTTCTTCCCCCGGAGGATAGGATGAGTCGACATCGCAAAACTCTTAACCTTTCAGTTAAGTTTAGACTATATCTTAATCCAGTATAAAGAGCACAATTTATACAGCTCTGGATTTTGGCGTGTAGTCGTTGAGGGGTTAATTAGTATTACGATTAGCTTAAATCTATACTAATAACTTCCCTGCTGATTGCCCAATTTTTTAAATTGTTACTTTTCATTTTTCTGCTGCTTGCAGCTGTATTTAATAAAAAGTATTAAAAACTCTAAGGGGGTTCCAGCATATAGCCAATTTCTATCTAGATATTACTATCAAGACTCCCCGATGTTTATTTATAAATAAATAAATTTTTTTCTTGCTTCTCCTACGACCTGCGGAGGAGTGAACGCTGAAGGAGTTGTTTTTTAAGGTGCCAAACCACCGAGACAATGTGTACTCTCGTCGGTGATCAGCCTGTTATCCCTAGCGTAACTTTTATTTATTGATCCCCGTCTATTCCATACTATAGCGAGGGGTCACTATGCCCTACTTACGTATCTGTGCGACTTATAGGTCTTTCAGTTAGGCATGCTTTCCGCCATTAAACTCTGCGCGACCCTTCACTGGTCGATTGACCTCCATTCAATGTCTAGCTATACCTTTAATAACTTTAATGTTAATTTTTTTTTAATGTTAATTTTTTTTTAATTCCAGTTAAAAATATAAATTTGTTATAATTTAACAAGAATAAATTTTAATTTTTTATAGTCCCTCATCCCCCCATTTTACATTAATATATAAAATAAATTAGTCTTCCATTCATGTAAAAGAATAAAGAAGATATGGGAGAAAAATCTTTTTTAAAGATTATCCTTCTGTGTTTGCAGAAAAGGTGAGTAACTAAGTTTTTTTAATTTCTTAATTAAAAATTAAGTATTTTCCCCTCTTTAATTAAATTTATTAAATTTTAAAAAAGCGGGAAAGATTATCTGTGAAAAATTAAATTTTTTAATATATAAAAATTTTAGCTATACTGATTACAGCTTCACTAAACGACAGTCTTTTTTCTCAGACTATCTCCTTAGTCTAAAATAAAAATTTTACTTAGACTTGGTTTGATAATTTTAATAAATAATATTATATATATTACATATTAATTGTTTTGAAAAATTTGGATGTACTTTGCTACTCTATTAAAGACGACCGCCCCAGTCAAACTGCCAATTAGTCAACTCTCCCTTTTTGTTCGTATAGAATACAAATAAGGTAAACATAAACCCAACCTTAACTATAAGGTTTCCAGAAGTCTATCGACATCCCTATTTTCTATTTGAAAAGGTTGTTCTAGATTTACATGATAACTAACTACAGTAGAAGCTGCATAGGGTCTTCCCGTCCCTCTGAAGATAACCCGCATCTTCACGGGTAATTCAATT